ATTATCTGTTCAGATAAAACTGAATGCGCTTTTAAGATCACTCACTGGACGTTTCATTTAGAATATGTTGCGAAATCTGCAAGAAGCAACGTACAGTAATATAATTTTGCAGAAATGTCGCCACAGGCACATTTTTCCAATGAGCCTGGATTCATATTAATAGTGATGCTTGCCTTATTTGAAATGCAAATGTGTTTTTCAAATTCAAATGCTCTTTCAAACTGCCAGATGGCAAAACAAAACTGTTTCAAGAGTTCTACTCAAAGGGTTCTGTTCTGGTATCTGTCTATAAAGATGATTGTCCCAGAGCGAGGTTCTAGATCAGTGCTAATACTGCGTTCCTCTCTGCTGGTCTGTTCATGAACTCAGGCCCAGAGGTGCCCTGTAGCGTCAGCTGCTGAGCTGGCACAGCTCATGACAATGACAGTTAAACATGCAGAGAACGAACGGAGTGAGTCGACCAGCAGTCAAAGCCACAGATCTAATGATGGCTTTAGGTGCTGACTGAGGCAAAGCCCAAACCAGTGCACTATCGACAGCACAACCCTTCTCTCAGTAACTGGGAAGCTTCATCACTCTACTTGTAACACCCTGATATTCTCAAACTCCTAGAAGCATTCAAATGGCCAGTGCTATTTTAGTAGTTTGACTGGAAAACACCCTAACAGAAAAGAAAGAAATGGGAAAAGGAAACAGACCCAATGCTCTCCACTTCAGGAAAGGACAAAGGGATGTTTTTTGTTGTGGTGCTTAGAGAGGAGATATAATTTGGGGAAATGAGAAGCAACACATAGTGTCTCCCAGGAGGAAGAGGATGCAACCACAATAATTCCTCAGGGAAAGAAGGGAGTATAGAGGGGAGGATCGGAATGGCACTGTTTCAGCTTCCCAAAATCAACATGGTGACTCCTGTCTGTGGTGTTACCTGCCTCCAGAGACACTTGTCTTACTGGATACCTGATGGTTACACTGCAGGGCCAGGAGTCATTAATCTAGCCCCGTGTGTCGGATCAGCCTCCATGTGACGGCACTTTTCTACTCCACAGCACAACACCCCAATCAAAAAAAAAACAAAAAAAAACCGTAATTGCAATGCGGCGGAACCAAACCGAGACACATTTTTCATGTAATTTTTTGTTGTTCTCGCTGTGTTCTGCAATTAAAAAATGAGCAGTTTCGATGCAATTGTGAGTGGGTTAAATGTAAAACCGCCAACACAAACATAAGCCCTGTTCCAAAAACTAGTGAGCTGCCTACTTAGACAGCATTGTAAGGCATCACAGGCAATGGTAATGGCGACACAAGCCACCGAAAATAGCAATACTAAGCAAAAGCAGAGCGTGTGAGCTGTGTGCGGGACAGACACTGATAACATCAGCAACAAATGCTTGCCAAAAAAAATTACAGGTAACACATTGCAGCAGCGGATTGGCTCTCACAATAACGCACACACAAACTAAATGCAAATTCCTATCCGACTGGAGATGCTTCGTCTTTATTAGATGCATCCCTTCTGTGTACATTTCATAAAGTGGTGGGCACTATTCCCTCTAAGTGATTTCTGATGTTGCACCCGAACAGAAAAAAATAAAATAAAATCTGCACAAAAGGAAGAGGCAAAACGAGCGGGGAAACCAGCTAATTGTGATTGCATTATAGTAAATTTGAAATGATTGCAATGTCTGGGTCAACCGCTATCTACATAGCTGTCAGTTTAAATGCACATAATATATTAAAAGCTTAATCAAGAAATAAAAGTGTTCATTCGTACTAAGGTGCTGTCGAATGCTTGATTCTGATTGGCTGATGAACATTCTAAGGTGTGCACAGTGACATGTATGAACTAGTTCCAGGCCTGACATCTGCTTTACTGCTCCAAATAACTGTGCCAAATTATTTCAGTTGTTTTAAAGGTCGTTACAGACTACAGCAGCAAAATAACCAAACCCAAAAAACAAATATGGCCAACAATAAGATGAAAAAGACAATTACCCTGTTTTCCCAACTAAATTACCTTTTATTGTCTATGCAAAGTGTGCTTTTTTTTCTCCTGCTCTCTCTCTCTTTGCACTCACACACATACAGAACAGACACACATGCACTGCACTCAGAATCTTTTTGTCAGTGCTGTCAGTGATTGACTTTTTCAGTAATATAGTTCACAACTAAAAAGCTAAATGGCATTGCCTCATATCTATGGCTCAAGCTCCATTACTAGCTCTAAAATGGTGTTTTGGAATTAGCAGCAGAGGCTTGGAATGAGATGCGTAAGAAATGAGTCTGAAACAAAAGAGTATTTTAAGGACAAACACCTGACAAATGTCTTGAAATAAAACATCTGAACAATGTCTGAACTGTTGTATAATCAGAATAATCCACTCCGTCATTTAAATTACTGAAAAATAATGCACAAACAAGGTGCATTACCACATCAGGCATGCATGATTTTTCAATATAGCAATGGCCCATCGTCCATTATTCTTTACTTCACTTCGGAAATAAAATTCACAATAGATCAAAGAAATGAAAATGGATTATTTCACCCAACATTCCAATGTAAATATAAATAGATATAATAATGTAAGTATGTTTTATGCTTATTAGAGTACCATGGCATTAGCTTAGCAACATGATAACATCAAACTCAATGGGAATCAATTGTAAGTCAAGTCTTCTTTGCTGCCTAATTAAAAAATCAATCACATATGAGGTTACATTTTGGTTAGACAGCTGCCTGTGTAAACAGCAGAAGGCAAAGCAGCTCAGTGATTTGAAACTGAGCAATAAACTGCTGCCATTTTAGAATACATCCATTTGCAAGAGTGGGAAAAATGTCTTGGGGGAAAAAAAGCCACTTGCTTTATGGAAAACCTTCACAGAGAGAAAGATTGGAGATTCCTGCATGGTTCAGGTGCACAAAAGCTGGCTCAGTATTTCGGGCTGAGCTGAAATGCTCATGTCAGATCCTCCTCATGTCAACCTAACCGCAGTGCAAATACCTCCAACAGCATGTGGTCTAGGTCTGAGCCAAATCTCAGTGCCTCGATCCAAACCAAAACCAACCAACCACACTTATCCGTGGAGGAGGCAGTCGGCCATGGCTTAAAGGGGCTTCATTTGGAGGAGGAGGCAGCTAGGGTGGGTTTTTCTCAAATACCAGAACTTTAGAGAGGCATTCTCATCTCACAGAAAAGTGAAGAAATTTCCCAGCCAAATGCAACATCACATTCTCATCACATGCACCCACACATTATGGAGTCGTTTCAATCATTTCTGGCTAGTGAGCTCAGTCATTTCTCTCTGGGGCTCTTGGATTATTCCAGAAAACCTAAATGTGTTAAAGTCCTGTGGGTATAGGGATTGCCATTAAACAGGGATTCTTTCTAGGCAATACTGTGATGACCTTGGAATGGAGGGGCTAATGGGATCAGAGAAAGCTGGCAGCTCCTCAAGGAGCCCATTTGTTAAGCAAAAAGGACTTGAGGAAAGTTTAATAGCTGTAATGAAAGATACTGAGGTTGATACTCATGCTTTATGGGCTATTTGTGGAACGGTAGGTTTTCAATAGAGACGCGCTGGTGGGGCTATCAGTATCACCTGTCCCCTTCGAGAACATTTAATCCCTGCTGAGAGCTGCCCATCAAGAAGATCTCTCGCAAGACAATAACAAGAGATCCATCAGATACAGACAAACAGAATTTACCCACGCCCGAGAATCTACTTAAATGGGGACATGTTTATATTTTGTGCCACCGCACACTTAAAAATAAATGCCCCACTGTATCAATCAACCTATCAATTTATTTTAGTGTTGTCAATCGATTAAAAATATAACTAATTAATAGCACATATTTTTTTCTGAAATGAATCACAATTAATCCCAGCTAACAATAAAGATTTTAAATATACTTTTATATTGCAATAATTTCACATTCAATCTACAAATTAATGTAGGAACAACATAAAGACTAAACATTTTTTTAAGATTTGTTTAATGGCATATTTTTTTATGACTGAAGGTGAGTATCACTGATAAAAATACTATTGATGTCTCTAGGAAATTTTTCTTTTTTTCAATATTTAACCATTGACTATAGCCATTCAACATTACAGTATAATTGAAAGCTATCCATTTTAACATTTATTACACTTAAAAAAATAACAACTTCTACTACTAAGTGAACTTAAAACAATTTTCAGTTACACTTTATTTTTAAGGTGTCCTTGTTACAGTGTAATAATACTGTATATTTAAGTACAGAGTAATATTAATTAACTACATGTACGTAATTACTATATGGTTAGGGTTAGGATTAGGGTTTGGCTTAGGGTTACTTGCATGTAATTATGCATACTTTATTGTTATTATAATAGTAAGTACATGTAACATGTGTAACAAGGACACCTTAATGAGGTCCAGAATACCAGAGACAACATTACTACAATAGGCTACATCAGCGGTTCCCAATTACAGCCCATGTTCCGAAGTTAAGTAATGGATTCAATGGATTTCCCCTGCTCAGAGAGTAGGGAGCAATGAACACGGTGTTATCATATAGATACACAGATGCACAGTTCATGCACATAGCTCTCTTCTAACGAGCTGGTTATCTGAATCGGGTGTGTTAACTAAGCAAGACATGCAAAATACATGTGCGAGGACTGGAATTGGGAACCGCTGGGCTGCCTACATCATGTGTCATTCACCGGTGAGAAAATCCATGACAGACACAGCAGATAAAGAGCAGTCCTCCTCCAAATTGCCAGTAATCAGCTGGATCAGCTGGGGGTAAAAAAAGAAAAAAGATTGTGAGAAGACACCTGTTTTATCTGGGATTAAGGCTATTCTACTCTATTATTTAAGGCTAGGAGTATTCTATAGTCTTTGCTTCCAATCTGGCTGGAATGCGCTGATGACGTATGTATGCAAATACATACTTTGACAGGCAGGCAAGACAGCCTACCTTCATCTTCGGACTGAACATTTTGATTGGACGAACATTCTATGGTCCTAAGCCTTCCACAGGTGATATAAATACATATAAATATTTCGACCACTTAACTTAGTCTTAGTGATTGCTATGGGGATGTGAAGAGACTTTCAACCAGCATAACAAAAAATGTTTCTGAAGACAATCACCTATTGCACCTTTAACTACGTTAAATATTTTTAACGCTGTTAAACTGGAAAAATTAATTGCCTGTGTTAACACCCTTATTTTGACAGCACTAATTTATTTATTTATTTAGACATCTCTTGCTCCATTATGAATATTTACAATTTTGACTTGATTGCTCACAATTCTAGTGATCTAAGACACCAAAATGTAGTGAACAGTAGTCGGTATCAATACCAGTAAAACATATCCTAAGTAAAAACTTTTGATGCTTTGATGCTAATGTGCAAACACCAAAATAGAGTCAGTACTCTGTACAGGTACTTTTAAAGACACTACTCACTTCCATACGTCACTTTCTCTGAAAATGAACTGTGATCTTGTGGGTAACTTTTTCCAAGAAGCTCTCCAAGGCTTCAGAGCATTTCATGTCTGATCTTGCCTCAGGAACATAAGTAACAATCACATCATGCTCGCACTCTGGTCTTAGGTAAAACGTTGTCAAACTATTGATACAATTGCCAAATCATTGCTAAAAACATAAAAAAAATGTAATTGCATGGAAACATTACCATGATTGCTCATTTTAAGACAGTAGTACGGTGGACGATAAGTGCAAAACAAATCACAATTCTGAAAACAAAATTACAAATTACAAATGCAAATGCAAGTCTAAAAAACTAAATAACAATTCAGAAAACACAACAACAATTCAGAAAACATTATAACAAGTCAGAAAACACAACGACAAAT